GGGTCTCTTGAAACTCCTCAGCCTCTTGTAAGAAAACATGTGGTTGCCACCTGGCCAAGCTGAATAGAGAGTGTCCAAAAGGCGGTTATCAGTGAAGCTACTACCTAAGGAGTGCACAGAGATCCCTGGCTATCCTAAAGATACAGAAGCTCCTCCACAGGTGACAAGATAGTCCTGAGAAACCCATTGTGAATTGAAAATGCATTTAATCCATCTGATCCACAGAAGATCCTAGGTTAGCAGCACAGCACACTGTAAAGCACCAGTGTCATCGCAGGGCGGACTGGAAACCGTGGGTCACTTCTGCTGCCAAAGTCCAGCATCTCCAGGAAGGACCAGAACATTCATCACTAGCTTGGGAACAGATCAAGATCAAAATTCAAAGTACAGTTTCTACTGTATGAAAATTCTTTTTGCATCATTGTAAAGTAAAATAATAATAACAACAATAACAATAACATCAAACCATCAAAAATCAAAGATTTCTGTAAACAAACAAAACAAAACAAAAAGTCCTTTCCTTTCCCTGAGGTTTATGAATTCAGAGGAAAGGGGATAAAAACGACTGTTTCTTTCATCCTCTTTCTCACACTCTTGACACGCCATGTTCTGCTTTTTGAGAATCTGGTACATGTGGGGTAGCTCTGGGGGTTCAGAGTTGAAAGTTTTTTCACTTTGTTTATTTTAATAAGATGGCCCCATGAGTCAACTTATTAGACTTTTATTGGAGAAATAAAAATCTATAGTGACTGCTTATAGAATTAAATATTCTATCAAGCTTTTAGCTTTTTTCCCCCTAAAGGTGAGATAAGTAATGCCATACACTATTTGTACTCTGTAAGTTTCTGGTTGGTTAATCGAATATTGGAAACACAGTCTCGAGCTCAGGAAAAGCCTTGTTCCCAGAGCAGCGGCCTTGGCCCCAGCCCCTTCTCCAAGGCTGTGTGAAAAGGCTGCACAGATACCTACCTACTCACCCTCACCACAGTTCTTGGATGTGAAGTAAGACCTCCACATTGTTCTGGGCATGGTCATTGCTGGAGAGCTATGGGACATGCATATAATGGTTCCAGGGGCCTCTTTCTTGTTTATTGTCACAGCATCAGCAGCATAGAACTTTGAAGGAAGAGGTACTTTTTATTTTTCTCCAAGTTTCAAGATTTGGGGCACTTGAAGGAGGTACTGATGGGGAGAGGAAGGATTCTCAATTTCAGCACTTGATACCAGGCCAGGGTCAGGACTGGGAAGGAATGGGGCAGGGAGCTAGAATCAGTGGTTTCAAGAGTTAGAAGAAGAAAACTCGAGTGAGGGTGTAGCCAGAGCCAGGGCTGCTTTCTCATAGCATTGGGGGCAGAGGAAGGCATAGGAGGGCTGGATAGGGTGGGCGGCATTTCAGATGGTCACTGAGCTTTTCGGCCCTCTGCCCTGGGTTCTTAGGTCTGGAGTGACATTAACTCGTGCTGCAACTTAGGTGTTCAACATGCCTAGACACCACTTCCTCACAACATACTGAAGTTATATTCTAGTTCCCAGAAAATAAGCTACAACAAGCAAACATGGCCATCTTTGTTTATTATCAGGAAGAGTTGGCTAATTTCTACCAAAACACAGCTGAACTCCTTGTTGTGTACCCTAAAATAGTGCTTTCTATTTTGGGATTTAAACAAATAGCTCAGTTTGATAGATGAGCATCTAACAGGAATGGGACCTGAATGGGGCTGGGATTGAACGGTGAAGGCAGAACTATTCTGAGATGTGGATCCTGGAGCCACGCTTTAGAGACCCCTCTCTGGTCCTCATCTATCACCTTCCCGTCCCAAGTTGGCTGGAACTCTGCAGAGGTAGTATGGTAATTCTGTTTTTTAATTTCTAGAGAAATTGTCACATTGTTTTCCATAATAGCTAGACCATTTTATGTTCCCACCAGCAGCACATAGGGTTTTAATTTCTTTATACCTGTGCCAACATTTGTTATTTTGCTATTTTGTTTGCTCTTAAATAGCCATCTTTAAATGGGGTATCTGATTGTCGTTTTGATTTGCATTTCCCCAGTGATTAGCAGTACTGAGCATCTTTTCATGTGTCTATTGGCCATATAGATACCATCTTTGGAGACCTGTCTATTCAAGTTCCTTGCCTGTTTTAATTGTTTGAGTCTCTATATATTCTGGATATTATTCCCTTATCATGTGTGTGATTTGTAGTATCTTCTCCTGTTCTAAAGTTTGCCTTTTTATTGTGTTAGTGTCTTAGGATGCACAAAAGTTTTTAGAGATCGAATTCAATTTGTCCATTTTTTTCTTTGATTGTGAATTTTGTGTCACAATCAAATCATTGCTAAATCCAAAGTCTTAAAGCTTTCCCCTAGGTTTTCTTCTAAATTTTTATAGTTTTAGCTTTTATATTTAAGTCTTTTATCCATTCTGAGTTAATTTTTGTACATGGTGCCAGGTAAGCATCCAACTTCGTTCTTTTGTATGCAGCTATACAGTTTTCTCAGCATCATTTGTTGAAAAGATTGCCCTTTCTAATTAGACGATCTTGACTCTCTTGTCAAAAGTCATTTGGCCAGCCTGGGGATGTTGCTCAGTTGGTGGAGTGTTTGCCTCACATGCACAAGGCCCTGAGTTCAATCTCCAGCACCACCAAAAAGAAAAAAAAATCATTCCATTTTATTGGTCTATGTATCTGTTTTGATTACTGTAATTTTGTAGTAAGTTTTGAAATCTTCAAATGTGAGAATTCAAGATTTGCTATTCTTTTCCAAGATTATTTTAGCTACTCAGAGGTCACTTTAGATTCCAAATCTTTAAAAACATTTTTTTTAGTTATACATGGACACAATATCTTTATTTTGTTTATTTATTTTTATGTGGTGTTTAAGATGGAACCCAGTGCCTCACATGTGAGAGGCAAGTGCTCTGCCACCGAGTCACAACCCCAGCCTTCCATATGAATTTTAAGATTGATTTTGCTATTTCAGCAAAAGACATTATTGGGATTTTGACAGAAATTGCACCAAATCTGTCCATCAGTTTGTATAGTATTGACATTTTGGCAATATTTTAGTCTTTCAATCCATGAATATAGGGTGTCTTTCAGTGTATTTATGCCTTCCCTTAATTTCTTTCAGCAATGTTTTGTAGTTTTTATTGTACAAGTCTTTCACCTTTTTTTAAATATTTATTTTTTAGTTAATTGAACACAATACCTTTATTTACTTATTTTTATGTGGTGCTGAGGATCGAACTCAGGGCCTTGCACGTGCTAGGCCAGCACTCTACCACTGAGCCACAACCCCAGCCCATGTCTTTCACCTTTTGGTTAAGTTAGTTCCTAAGTATTATATTCTTTTTAATGCTTTGTAAATGGAATTGTTTTTCTTAATTTTCTTTTTGGATTGGTCATTGTTGATGTATAGACATGTAACTTATTTTTGTGTGTTGGTTTTGTATTCTGCAAGTTTGCTTAATTTGTTTATTAAGCAGCTTTGCATGTATGTTCTTGAAGTTTTTCTAGATAAAAGATGATATCTACAGAAATAATTTACTTATTTATTTCAATTTGGAAGCTTTTATATCATTTCATTGCCTAATATTACTGAATTCATTCTCAACTTTTCTGTGTGTGTGTGTGTTTGGGCTTGTGTGTGCAGGTGCATGCACACGTGGGATACTGAACCCAGGACTTTGCACATGCCAGGCAAGCACTCTTCTGCTGGACTACATCCCCAGTCCATTACTGCAGTTTTCTATCCAGGAAACAATAAGGGTTTGAACAGGGATAGGGATGGTGAGAATGGATGGATTTATGACATACTTCTTAAGGCAGACAAATGGAGTTTATTAGATTAGAAGTGGGCTGTGGGAAAAAGAGAGAAATTAAGAATGACTTCTAAGTTCATAGATGAATTAACTGGATAAATCACAAGATACCATTTGCTAGATGGGAAATATAAGGGAAATGTAGGCTTGGGATAGGAAAAGAAAAATTTTGGCTAAGTGCAGTGGCTCACACCTATAATCCCAGCGGCTTGGGAGGCTGAAGCAGGAGGATTGTGAGTTCAAAGCCAGCTTCAGCATAAGCCAGGTTCTAAACAACTCAGTGAGACCCTGTCTCTAAATTAAATCCAAAATAGGGCTGGGGATGTGGCTCAGTGGTTGAGTGCCCCTGAGTTCAATCCCTGATAACCACCCCCCACAAAAAAAGGAAAGTTTTTATTTAGGTCATATTAAATTTGGCCATGGTTGTGGATAAAGTAGCCAAAAGCAAGAGAAGAGATTGGAAAGAGGGCAGAAGACAGATCTCTGCAGAAAACTCACATTTGGAAAATTGATAGAAAAAGAACCAGAAAGAAGAGGGAGAAAGTTTCGATAAGATATTCCTGGTTAACTGTGCGAACCAGAAAGGAAGGAAGATGAGGACTGAGAAGACATCTTACACGAGCAACAGGGGGGTGATCGGTCAGCTTCACAGAGAATTTTCGACACAATAAGTAAGACCTCCCCTTGAGTGGAAGTGAGAAAGCGCGTGGGTGACGGGTCTACTCCAAATAATGCCACAGAGCTGTCTGGATGCAGGAGGCAATGTTGGTGTCCCTCTTGTCATGGAAACAGAAACCGTTCAGAAAAACTAAAAGCCATTTAAAGCCCCCCCTGATTCTAGTCCATCACATCCCCTGATCATGTGAAAGATGCTGATTAAAAGAGAGAGAGTGAAGAGTGGAGAGGAGAAAAGAGAGAGAGAAGGAGAGAGACAGGAGAGAGCAGGGCAATCCCAGGGCTCTGTCTTTTAGAGGTAGTCCCTAACGGAAAGCCTTCCCCTCTTAAGAAAGAAGCCATTGCCAACACCCACACCAGCTTCCACAAAGCACAGATGACCCACTGAACAAAGTTCCTTCTTTTCTTGCTATTGGCTGACACTGCTCATAAAGCACAATCTGCTGTTTCACTTTTTTTCTTAAATGATCAAGCTGAATTACTTGGAGGAGAAAGGCAGGAGAAAGACAGAAGGCAAGGCACCGAGGGCAGAGACCTGCAGGTGGGCATTTTTACTGTTGCTTTGTTAATTCATTGTTGAGAATTGTGACTGGATTATCACTTCTTTTTTCTTAATTTAAATGTTTTTTTTTTCTACCATACATATGGTAGTTTAAAAAATATCGAGAAAGTATAAGAAAAAGGAGAAGAGAACAAAAACCATCACCAAGATATAGCTTCTATTGGCATTTGGGGAGTTATTTCCTTTCTCTCTCTCTCTCTCTCTCTCTCTCTCTCTCTCTCTCTCTCTCTCTCTCTCCCCCGTGTGTTTGGTGCATGGAGTTTGATTTTCATGTTGTACCCATACAATATACATAAGTTTATGTTCATTTCTTTGATCACAGCTTTTGTTTTTATCCATGTTGCTATGAATTCTTCATAATCATAATTTTAAATTGCTGCATAAATTGCATTGAGGTTTATCGTACTTTACCCACGCCTTCCTCTGTTTTTGGCCACACAGCATCTTCCCTATTCTACATAGATGGAATCACTTTATTCTAGAAGATGTATTTTTTTTTTCTCACTTGGAGTCTTGCTGTGGGGGGAGAGGAGGTTAGCTTTGAGGATGTGTATTTCAGTGGTTTTGCTCAGAGGCACTGTGAGTGGAAGGTGTGGGGATGTGAGTTTGCAGACTGTTCTCTGTGGGCAGTGTTTCTCAACTCTAGCTGCACATTCAGCCAGAATCACCTGAATTGGAGCAGATTAAAAAACTGCCCCCAGAAACTTAGCCTTGGGGGATCAGTCTGTCCATCTGCAGATTTTTGTCTTCCAAAAAATTCTAAGGTGATTATAATCAGCAAAAGTTGACAGAGGTTATTTGAAATATTCTCTTGTCTTTGATAGTTACCTGAAGGTAATATACGTTAAAAGAAAAGGATGCAATTTCAGGCAAGCCATGCAAACCTGCCTCTCAATGCTACTTAAACCATGCGAATCATTGAGTTAATTTGTGGGAAACAGAAGACTTGTAGAAATTTCTCTCATTTGTCTCAGACACATCAACTCTTGAGACAAGCATCTACCTGAGAGCTTTAATTTGCTAATGCTTTAAGGAGAGGGATTTGTTTCTCCTGCTTGGGAAGTTCAAAGTTAGAGAATTTGAGGCTCTAGAATGTTCAAAACAGATCAAAATTAAGCCCGGGCTCTGCTAGTACCTGCTGAGGCAGTAAGTCTTCCTGTCTTTTGCAACCTTCTCATTAAGCATAAGGTGGACATTTAATGATCAGCCAGTCATAGGCACACCTGAGGTAAAGCAAAGGCGGGTGAGACTGGGATGATAGGTGACAGGAGGTTTCTCAGGTTTTCTAGAAACATCATAGACATGGCACTTATCTTTTCTGGATCCCAAGTCCTCATAAAAAAACTGGAAAGAATTTCTGATTTCTCTCCCCAGGAACAGAGGACAGATAACAGGCAGCTAAACTAAGTTGAAGCATTTGCTACTGCTTTCCTAGCTTACAGCAGGGATGCAGGTTTTTGTTTTTATTTATCCTAACTTAATTGATAATGTGTTAATCAAATTTCTTCTTGTTTTAATTACACAGAAGGGAATAGATGTTTAGTATCTTCTTTGATGAATATAAACATTCACGTAGTACTTTTCTGTTTAGAAACATGTTTACATACACCAGTTCTTTGGATCCATGAAATAGCTCTGGGTGCTGGAGGGCATTAATTCTTACTGTAAAGGTGGTAAACATGAAGCCCAGAGAACACAGGATCTTTCCCAAGGTGGAACCAGTACTTGTGCAGAGGGCACAGGGCTCCCTTCTTACAACTTGAATAACAGCTATTGTAAGAAGTTGATTAAATACAGATTATTTTGTCTATATAATTGGATAGCCTTCAGTCAGTTAAATGATGGCATTGTCACTTATTAGTTGGCCAAGAAAGACATGACATGACACAGTGACAAGGAAAAACCATAGCACAAAACAGCATTACAATATGTGCCCATTTTTGTTTAAACACAATTATGTATATTTGAAGAAAGATGAAAGGAAGTAAATTCACAAAATTTAGATGTATCTGGTTGGTGGTAAACTTTGTAATTTATTTCATCTTGATTTTCTTTTTTTTTACCATAAGCATGCACTGTGTGTATAATAAAAAATGTAAAGTACTAAATAGAATTGTGTTTTTCCGGTTGGCTCTATTCCAAATGAAATGGTCTTTTTACTTGGCCACACAGAAGCCTCCCTGCTAATGTTCTGAGTGCTGTACATTCCTGATCACATTGTTGTGATGGTTAGCTAGCACTGAGTTCTTAGCACGTGTCAGGATCTAAGCAATCACTTTGCATCCATTTACTTCATTGATTCTCACTCAAATGCTTTCTTGACCCATGACAGTTTTGAAATTCAGAAGGATAATGTAATAAGTGACCAAAAGGCAGAGCTGAGATTTGAACCCAGTTTCTTTTTAACTTACAAGCACATGTTTTCATTCATCATACTGTCCAGCTCCCCATCTGCCTGGAGTCTAAGAACAGCTCCTTTCAACACGCACCTGTTTGGGAGGAAAGTGGGCGTTCCTACGCATTGCCATGTGTCAGGATTGCCTTGTTAGTATCTGTGTGCATTCCGGACTCAAGGGACCCTTCTGCTTTTCTAGTTTGTCTTGCACAGCAAATATTGGAAGCACACTTTCCCCCAAAGCTAAGCCTGCAAGATAAAAGCCCCACAAGGGATTGTGCAATCACCCAGAGAACTCTGGCTAATGCAATGGCCAAGATGGATAATGCATAGAAAGGCAAGCCTCTTGCTGTGGTTGCTGAGCTTTGCTAGAGAGGTTTTCACATCCCCTCAGAGCCCCCCTCCCCGCGGCACATTTTGAATGCTTTACTCCAGGCTCTGACCACTTCCTTCTTTGTACTGGAGTTACTTCTGTGCAGGCCTCGTCCCGCTACTGGACCATGTGTCTCTGCATAAAACCAGACACCCCCACACGGCAAGCCTCTCTCTTTCTCTTGCATGCACGTGCTCCAAATGCAGCACAACTGTTTTCAGCTGCTGTCCATGTTCCCTCCCATGGTTCTCTACTCACTCACTGTGAGAAACGGGAATGTGCAAATCAATTAATTCATCAGTGAATGGGGACTTTATTTACAGTTTATGATCATGTTAATGCCTTAATGTTCAATTAAAATTATGTTTTGAATTTTATTAATCTGATTCTATTAGTTGGCCTTTGGGGAAAAGTGTAATCTTTGCTGATATCTAAAGCAAAACCTTTCTAATTGGATTGATGGCTTGGTGGCAGTATAGTCTGGCACCTTTGAAAAATAAGTCTGGTTATTAACTGAGGGGCTGATGACGAGGGTATACGCAGTAACTTGAAGACAAAGAATTCAAAACTGGATGGATCCTTAGGAAGAGCTGGGGCTAGACAGAGATTTCTGCATCGTTAGTACAAACTCCAAAGTCCTGAAGGGAGAGAGACTTAAAGAAAAGGAAGAAGTTGACCCCAAGAAGAACAAGGAGGGAGGAAGAGAGGAGGAAAGGCCAGGGGAGGGCAACCCATTTACTTTGGAAATTTAAAGATTTAACTAAACTGGAAGAATTTAAAAAAAAACTCTGTCCAAAATTATTTTATTCACTGTACATTATTAAAAGAAGTTTGTTTCTTTTTAATTAGATCTTAAATTGGATCTATTTCCCATCCAGACTCCTCTCATGAGCCTGGAGAGATGGCGTTTTACATTGTCTGCCTCTCTGGTGCAGAAAACACAATGGTCTAAAGAGTTCTTGAAGACATCACAGGAACCCAGGGCCTCACACGTGCAGGGTGACAGCTCTACTACTGATCTATGTCCCCCAACCCCTCGCAGAGTCTTTACAGCAAGTTGGTTTCTTTTTGAGTCTTCCCTTAATAATTCTGCTCTCTAGTAAACTCTCCAAGAGGTTTGAAGGCGGCTCCCCTTTTTAGTTATAACAGCACAAAACCCTACTGAAAATTTGTTGGCACAGAATCAGAAAGACAATTTGCTGTCCTCCGAGATTAAACAGCGTCACTTCTTTCAGAGTTGAGAACGTAGTACCATTTGGGTACCTTTTGTGGTTGCCCCCTGCCCGCATGCCATTGACCCTATCTTCTGTTCCTAGATCTTAGAATTGAATTTCAGGGTCAGAAAGTTTGTAAGGAAAAATACACCAATAGCATTTCATTACCCAAAACCAAGGGGTGGGTGGATTTTATTTTTCCTCCCAGAAAATGTTCACTGTGAGACCTACATGAGAGGGTTGAATAATATTTCATTGGCTCACTCAGTGGTCATTTATCTGAACACCCTTATGTGCTGCACGCCATGCTAAGGCTAATAGCAGTAGACAAGAGGCACTTCTTGCCTGCAGTGGGTGAACGTTCTGGTGGAGGCTATGACAGGAGGCCACTGATGTACCCTGGGAGAGATACTGGGGAGAAACCCATGGAGCTGCAGCCAGTCAAGACCTGGAGGAGTCAAAGAAGGCTTTTTCTGGAAGTGTTATTTAGAAAGAAACTTGAGATTGGGTAAAGGATAGCCAGGGGCTGAGCTGGGGCTCAAAGTATGTAGGCAAAAGAGACACCCCCACACAGTAAGCCTCTCTCTTTCTCTTGCATGCGCGTGCTCCAAATGCAGCACAACTGTTTTCAGCTGCTGTCCGTGTTTCCTCCCATGGTTCTCTACTCACTCTGAGAGATTAATCACTTGCTGATGATCAGGCAGGTAGCAAACAGTTGGTTTGGAGAGAAGAGAAAAAAAGTGAGTTAGGATTTCAGTCCTGTGAGATTTATTCTAAAGCTTTTGCATGATATTACAATATCTCTATATAGTTTTAGTAAACACAGATGATGTTTAACAAAATACCTTTGTAAACAATTCCTCTGCTCTAAGAAATTAATCTAATAGTGAAATATAAAATGCCTAAGTGGGAGAGAAGAGAAAAAATGTGGGTTTTACTTTGAAAAGGGGCCTTTGGGCAGTCCCCGAGTCATGTCCTGATGTTGACCAACCCCTAG